CTACTACTACTACCACCACTGCTGCTGCTACTACTACTACTACTACCACCACTACCACTACTACTACTACTACTACCACCACCACTACTACTACCACTACTACTGCTACTACTACTACTGCTGCTACTACTACTACAGTACTACTACTACGACGACTACGCCGACGACGACGACGACTACTACTACTACTACTGCAGCTAATTACTATGACTACGACGACTACTACTACTACTCCTCCTTCTACTGAAATTCTGCTGCTACTAAGGAGGCAGCTGCTTTCCCAGGTACATTTCTGCGAAGCTTCCCGACGTAGAGAAGCACAACGCAATTCTATGCGTGTCAACTGCATTCTTCTTACGCTTTTGGAAAGTCCCCTTCATGTCTGTGGAGATGTGATTCCAAATCTCTAGATTGCATTCTCCGCCTCGTCTCGGCATAACGGACAGATAGCCCACTCTCTTTGCTAGCGTTTTCATTCTCCGCCCCGTCTTGGTATGCCGGACAGATAGCCTGCTCGCTTTGCTAGCGCAGTCAGTCTCCACCACGTCCTGCTATAATTGACAGATAGCCTACTCGCGTTGCTTTGGAGCTGTGCCCCGTTTAATTTTCATTGACTTGACTTGCTAAACGCCATTACAATGTTTCGTCTCCGTGCAGAGGTATCAAAGGTTCCAGCATCTTTTGTGTTTGCCAGAACGACCAGCCGGAGTAAGAGTTTAAACACAAAGCGTTGCATCAAACGATTCCCGCAAGTTGAAAATCCAGCGCACAGAAAAATCTTTCGCAAAGAATCCTTCGTGCCAGGGCATGGACAGCTGGGGCCCAGCGTGAGGAAGATACCTCGAAGACGTCTTAGGAGGAATTAACCTTCGAACGAGACTCCTTATTGGAAGCCTTCTCCTACTGCTGCTTGGCATGACTCAGCATCCTCTTGAAATATCAAAGACCACACCAGAATGAAGCAGATTCAGCAAAGTCTCTCCATCTCTCTGCTTCACAGATCTGAAAACGAGCCAGGTGCACAACGACCCTGCCATGATGTTGTCCTGACGGCAAGTTGGCAGAAAGTCAGGATAACTCGGCACCTCGCTAGCTGATTTGCAACCTGTTGACGGTTTTGGGGACAATTCAACTGCTAGCGTCCTGAAACAGTGGGTACTTGGCAGCATTGCCAAACCACTGGACGCCTTTCCTGGCAACAGGAATTTCATGGTTCTTGTCACAGCACATGGCTTGCTGTCCAACACCAGCCAACCCTCGGTATACGGTTCTTCATGACACGACGTGATAACTGACCCTTCTTGAGAGATCGTCGAAGCAGGCCTACATCCCAGCATCATCTGCCTCGGGTTCTCGTCGACCTGAGTGTTCTGTTGCAGTCATATGAATTCTCAGGGAGACAACATCCGTCCGGCTTCCGAGTATTGCACGTGCTGCTCAGGCAGCCAGCCTCCTGGCACTTCGTCCTGCAACACCGTAACGAAGGTCGTTGCGGTTCCACCTTCGAACATGCACCGTCCTTCCCTGGGCATTCACAACTGCGCTGACTCGAATCTGTGGGATAGTCCTCAGCATCAGACTTCACCTGCTGCAGGACTGCAACACAAAAACATGTCAGCTGAGCTGCAATGCTCACAAGCTCAAGACACTTGTGCGACACAATGTCTGATCTTATACATCTAGACGAGACCGAGAAAGCGATGGTGCATCTGGACACGTCGTGTGAATCGCCACAACCCGAGCCAGCACCGTCGGCCTTCAAGATGTCCGCCAAGCTTTGTGTGGAGGTCGCAGGAGCAACGGTGTCCTTGCAAACGCTTCGACAACTGAAAAGCTCGTCCTCATCCGTGCCCTGCCTGCTGGTGATCTTCATCTGCTTCCTCGGGGTTTGGGAGACTTTGAAGCTGTGAAAGCTCGCGACAGGTCGAGCTTTCCGTCCTTGCGAGCTGCCTTCCACTCCACAAGGCCAACATTGACGTAGCCTCCGCGGTTCGGATCAAACATCCATCCATGATCTCCTAGCAACCGTTCGGCCAGGTCGCAATTCACGGACTTCTCCACAGCCAGCGCGAAGGAGAAGCTCAGGGTGCAAAAGGATAGGCACAAGTTGAACAAGTCGACCAGTCAATCTGGAGGCTCCTGGCCTCGACGTGGAACCTAGCGGTGGCTTCCAGCGTCCTGCATGCCAGGCCTGGTGTCCACCGTGCGAGTGCGGGCTTCCACCGTGTTGTTCCCACGACAAAAACCGAGCGCCTCCGCCGGCCGGCAGCGGACCGCACTCGGCTCCAGCCTGGGACATGGCACTCGGGGACACACGTCTCAAGTTCTCGAGACCACGAACGACTCGTGGTCCGGTCCTGATGGTGCGGTAATCCTCCGGGCCCTTCATTGTCACGCGGCAGAACCTTTGGAGTGAAGAATTCAAGCCCTTATCTCGAAGAACTCTGCAGGTCATTGCACAGAACATTGCACTGTTAAGCTTAGCAGACACGTACCAGAGTGTGGCTTGCTTCCACGACATTCGACCCATCAGGCGCCTTGCAATTCTTGCACCCAAGAGCCAAAAAGGAAGCCCCTGTTGCCAACCAATTTTCACATCCGGCTTTGTAAGGGCACGGTAGTTGCTGCAAGCTAGAACCCTGCGACTATGGCGGCGAAAAGACTCATTCTATCGCGGATATGAGGCAATTTAGTAAATAGCGTGACTTCAGCGACAGGAATCGGGTCCCTGGTCGTGTGGTTCTGTGCTCTGAATCAAAGCATACCACCTCCAAGGTGGTCTGCGTCAACCCAACCCCTATAGACAAGTCTGTTGCAGACTGTCTAGATGGTAACCATTCTGTAGGCGGACTGCCGCGCTCGGGATGCGGCGAGGGGATGGACTAATTTTGCTAAGTTTGGCAGTGTGCTCAATGTTGCTCGAAGCTTATGATCTTCTGGGTTCTGTTTGGAGTTGCTGAACACTTTTTGCTGTTGCCCAAACCCAGAACCTAAGGCAGTCAGTGAACCCAGCTTGTTGACAGTATTTTCGGCGGACATGACATGAAGGTCTAGGATGGTCTAGGACTACCGCCTGTTGTACTCCTTGTCCAGGCCAGCATGAATGGACGCGGCCTGACAGAGACAAAGACAAGGACGACAAGGCAGCACGTTTCATGCTTCATGCACCGTGGACGAGTTGCATTGGGACAAGGCTTTTTGAACCTGGCCACCGCTCAACGGAGCTGCAAACAGACAACAGGGGCACACGTCCACGAAGTGTGCAACACCCTGATGTTCGTTTCGCAATCTCTGCAGTGTCGGTAGATCAAGGAGCGCTGAGTCACCGAGAGCCTCCTGAGCAATGCAGCAGGCGAGCTGAACTCCCCTTGAACGCATCGCCGCTCGAGCAAGCTCGAGCGAAAAGGTCGCAACAGGTCTGATCGATTGAAAAGCACGGACGCAGACTCGACTCCGGGGGAACACAATCGCAGGGTCGGAAAAGCGCGAACGAACCACCTCAAGCGGGCCCTACTGTCATGTGGATCGCTTCCTGAGGCCTTTCCGGGTTCGTTTGATGATGTACTCGACAATGTCCCGTACTGCATCACAAAACGTACAAGTATACCTCGGCCGCCAAAGCAAGCTGCAGGATATTACCCTACCATGACGGTCAATGACATAGTTTTGAACATGAACAAAGTATGGGTGCTCCCTCCATGTTTGCACCGAATGCATGCATCAATGCAAGGACACCCTTGTTTTGCTTCGCGCTATGGAAAATGGGCCGTTAGTCGCCGTGGAGCTTGCACACTTGGTCGATGACTTCCTTGCGGCTCCGGCTAAGGGAGGTGGACTGTGTGTCCGCTGCAAGGCTCTGCATTAAGTCCATTAAACTGCAGCCATGGGGCCCTGCAGATTGGGCAAGAATCACCAGCCCGTTGCAAGCGTTTCGCACAGGTGTAGCAGGTGCTCTGATGACACCTTGAGTCTCGGCTTCAAGGTATTGAACATTCATGCGCGACATCCCTGCGGGGCGGTGACGTGTCCCCGTGCACGATGACTCCATTGGGCCTTGCTCACAGTTCGGAGCCGCACAAAAAGCGCTGCTCCAGAACCGGCTTGCAAGATGGCTCAGACCGAGACTTGGCGTCCATGCAGATGACGCCTCAAGACTGTTGACCGATGTTAACTGCGTCAAAGGCCGCCCTCCTCCACATTATTTCGGGAAAGCCGAAGCACACTCCGTGCTGTTCGCTGGAGCGATGCCTCGGACCACGAAGCAGGATCGCCTAGAAGCAATGTTTTGAAGCATGACGCGTGACAAGGCTGCAGCGTTGCGAGCGCTGCTTGGATGATTCAAAAGAAACGATCTCTGCCTCAAGGCAAAGTACATCCAGCGATTGTCGCTTCTCGTCTCTACGCGGCACGGCCATGAGGAAATCATGGCATGATGTGATCTGGCCCGACCTTGCAGGAATCTCACCCCTAAATCTCGGGGGTTCCAATCGTGCCACGGGTCCGGTCTTTTCGTCGAGGAGAATGTGCTGAGCTCAACATGCATGCGCTCAACTCTCAATATGGGAAACCTTCCTACGATCAAAACCCGCATCGTTGTAGACTTCCAGAAACATGTGCCTGATGAAATTACTCAATTGAAATCCGAAATCTGTGCATGCCTGCCTTGTCTCTGGCAAACTCGTCTCTCTGACCAGACCAGCGTGTTGCCACGGCCTCCGAGCTGTGTTGAGATGCTCCAGCCGCCAAGTCTTCAAGTAACAGAAGCCAAAATCAGCTGTACGTCATCGCGTGCCTGGATCCATCCTTTGGGAATGACCTCGGGAAAGATGTGAGGTTAGCAGCAAAGCAGATGAAGAGCCCTGGTGAAGAGAACCGGAGAGCCTGAGTGATGTCGTCCTGAAACATCACGGACACCTGGCGCGAAGTGACACGAAGAACTAAGCCCATCCGAAGTAGCACAGCCCGCAGCACTTGCCGAGCAACCTCGCCCCGTTGCAGAATCGTCAGCACGATGCCACGGTCAGTTTGCACACTTCGGCAACTGGGCAAAAGCATCGGACTCTCTCCGACTTCACTTCTTCCCTTCGGCGAATAGAGATTTGTTGCTGGGTGTCTGTGCTGGTTACCCGGGCGCTTGAAATGTGCGATCACCACGTCCCCCGATGAGAGCTCCGACACCTGAGACCACAAACCCGCTGGCATGTGCGATTCGGCATATATACCGCACTGAAGCCGTTGGACACCGCCAACCTCGGCATGCCAGTCGCGCACCCGTTCGGTTACCCATGCCTGGTAGGAGCAGTCACCCAACCCTGCACATCCCTGGACATGACAGATCATGGATCGCGGCTCGATGAGTTTCAGAGCCTTGGAAACATTCTGCTGGATTCCATCATCAAAGTACAAGTCCACCTGAAACCAGCAACCCCAGACCGGAGGTTCGGAACAGACCGACAGAAGCCGCCTCCAGCAAAGAAGAGCTCATGACAGTGGCAACGTCAGTATCTGTGCTCTTCTCACCGCCGCCCGTCTTAAAGTGGGCCTCCCACAGGCTCCAGGCTGCTGCAAGTGAAGCAGGTACAGTAAGCAGCGTGTCGAAAAATACCCCAGGATTGCCAAACGGTCTTGAAGCGGACCTGGACCCGATCGCCCACGGCCCACTCGCGGAGACGCACGATCCATCCCAAAGGGACCGTCTGCTGGATTGTGTCCTGGGAAACTGAGTTTCTGAGAGCCTGTGCGCGTAATCAGACGTAATCCGTACGAAGTACGGCAAAGGCACACATGTGCAAGAAATAAGAAGAGATCCTGGAACTGCACCTGCACACGGCCGTCAATGGGGTCCGACAGCACGATTCCAATATCGGTGCTGGTACTTCTTCGTCCGTCTTCGCCCACCTCTTCAGTTACTCCGCAAAAAGCTCAGATGTCCCAGAATGGCAGGCCTCAAAGTGAACGTCTGCGACGCTTCCGACTTCTACCTGGAGCATCTCTGCTCAGAAACACTGGCAACGCCGACGTGACTGCGCTTTTGTAAAAATCCGAGTCCTGCAGGTTCCAGGGCCTGGCCCGGTGGCACACCTGGCAGCGCAGAATCTGACTTTCGGATCGATGCAGCGACCGGATTCCGAAGCCACGGCGGCTGCACCCAAGTTTTGGGCACGTTTTGCTCCACGTTGTCGTCAAAGACTGACGGGGCACTAGCGCAATGTCACCCTATCCCATTGCAACCTCTGCAGCTGCAAATCGCCCGACCTATGTACACGTCCTCCTTTGAGACGGCTAGGACCGAGCCCATGTCGGTCTTGACGCTTTTTGCGCCCCTGAGGCACACGTGCGATGCATTTCAAGTTGCGACGGAATGCTACGGCTCCACGATGCTCCACGCAGCCTCCCATCGTTGACTTTGAAGTATGCATTCACCTGCCATGGCTCACCAGTGTCCGAAGCACGGAGTAGGTTACAGAACTGGTAGCGTGTCAAAGGTGCCGGGATCAGATGGCAGAGGACTTGCTTCAGGCTTCGGGGGTCAGGCCATCTACCTTCGAGGCAAATGTTAAGGCAGCCAATCCGGCGGCAGGAGCGCGCGATCTCCTGGCTCCAATCGCATCACCTGCTCGACCTCAGGACACGCATCCCTTTGGAATACCTAATGACATTGAAGAAGGCTGAGTGCCGGTCCCATCCCATGGGGATGGTCTGCATGATTTGGTCCTGAAACCTGCGAGACTTTTGTTCGCAAGAAGCACTGCTCCGGACACTGATTGCTGTTCGCATCTTGAGCCTGATCCGAACGCGGCCACCATCGAGGACAGCCACCACTATGCCAAGATCGGTATTGACGGTGCGCCCCTGCATGCAGCTGTGATTTACATTACCAAGGCAGACGAAGGAAGAACTGTGAAGAACTTCTGTGCATCATGGTACTCTCAATTCAGTTCATGCACTTGCGAAACTTCGCCGCGCCTTACCAGAAGCATAGTGGGCATACACGATATCGCCTGGCCTCGAGGAGGAAGCGTCGGCACACAGTCACGAAACATCACAGAAGCACAGCTCTCCGTTCAGTTTCCCTGCGGCGGATCTTTGCCAAGTGCCCAACGCAAGGTCCAGATCCCATGCGGACAAGCGCTCGGCGATCCAGGTCTGATGGCTTCTGATGAACGCTATTTGAGCTCAGACATATTAGCTGCCACACGTTGCCACACATGGGGCTAACGGACCTTGGAGACGCACTGCACCGCACCATCATCAAAGTGGATCTTGCGGCATGCGTCAGGGAATTTAAAGTTACGGCCAATTAGAGCTCATATGTGCAAACAGGTGAAACGAATCAATCTAAACATAGGGCATACGCAAAGGTGACAGGTTCGGGCCTCCACCTCCGATGTAGTAAACTGGAGCAGCGTGCCCACGTCGGTGGCTGGGCAGGTCGGGCGCTTGCTGACTCTCTCAAACTCGGCAGCGAAATTTGGAACCTGAGCTCTTCGAGCCATAGCGGTTCTGGAAGTTCGCGCCTCGCAGGGCGCCACCAGGGCACAAAGGGCACACGACTCTCTTTTGAGCGCTGGGATCTCGGCGTACGCGATCGCCAGTTCGCAGGACTTGCTTCTGCGGTCCGGAGAACATCCGAGTGCCATCGCCTCTGCTCGGGAAGAAGACAGAGACAGGCGCGCGCGGCTTCGGGCGGGCTCTCGGGGCCGAAGGGGAAGGGCTCTTCGCCTGCACCGAGCGCGGCTCGGCTCAGAGCGGCATCCCGGAGTGGAGCCCGGAGCGGAGGTGTCTAGGATGGGCCTAGAAGCCTGCTTGCCCCTGCTTCGCAAGGTGGGGAGGACACGAAAGCAACCGGCAGAGTCACATACTAGGTGTTGATCTACGCTGGCATCGCGATCAGTGCCTAGACGGCCGAATTGCAGCTAGCAGTGCTGCAGGTTGTTGAACAGCTTACCACGGGAGCTCGCATGTGTAGAATCTGAGTCTAGCATGGACAACCAGAGCGTGTCACTAGCATCTGAGCCAAATGCCGCACCGGGTCGCTACATTCGGTTCTCACAGCATCTGCTTCGTCTTGTCTGCATTCATGCCGCGGAACGGGCGACCGTACCGTTATGGCAGCAGGCACGAACCCGGACAGACCGAAGCGAGTTCGAATTTCACGGCACACCATGCCTCCTCTGCGCTGAGGTCCCTGAACTCAAAGGAGCTTAGATGGCCTCACCACACGACGGGCACCAAATTCACCCCAAGTAGTCTCAAAGCGGCTGCTGGCTGTGAACAAAGGTCTAAAGTCAGTGGTTGAGGGCTGCAACTGTAGGTACCAAAATACCGGACCGGAGGTCCCTAGCAACCTTACTTGTAACATCTTGTAACGCTATAACCCTACTAACAACTATCAGTGCAGCCTCAAGTATGCATCAAACAAGCGAACATCAAGACTGAGCGAAGTGGCCGTAGAACGGCGACAGTGAAGGGCTGCTAGGAGACCTCAAGTTTTAACGTGACCAAAGCACTGTTGAGACCTGCAGCTTAGCTCTGGGCTCTGCTGGCTCCAGAGGCGGCCTTAGCAAGCGAGGGAAGAACTGTCTTCACCGTTTCTCTCCATGCACTCAGTTCCCATCTTTCCCCTTTTCCCGACTCAAGCAACAAGGTTGCCGCCCTTTCCTTGCATGGGACATAAGACTCATGCGGTTTGCCACGTGCACGTGTACTCTTAGAGACCGTAACATTCGTCTGTCTAGGATACAGGCTAATATACTTGTCGTGCCGGGAACAGCAAGACTCCGAAGACCGGGCATGTTTGTATCGCATCATGTAGCTTCGTTGGCAGAGGACTCCGCGTCGCATGGGCATCTCTGCCCGTTGCATTTATAAGTTTATAACACAAGAACCCTGAAACGATTGCTCTGTAGAGACAAGATGTCCCCCATCCGCCAGAAACAACAGCATTTTTGGGATAGTTTTGGCTGGTAAGCAACAAGCTTTCCTGGCCCGGGAGGAAAATGTTTTCTGCGTTGCCTTTGTTTTGGCATTGGGGGGAGGGCGGGGCTGGAGGTCCTGAGTGCTGAGAGTGGCCGGCGAAGGCAATACCATCACAGAGTTCATCTACGTCTCTCGACAAGACAGCTCCCCGAACCTAAGCTCTCAACTCCTTTACCTCCTTCACATACGGGGGACTTAGTACATTGGTGCTTTGCTTAGGGGTTCTAATCTTATACATTCATTTAAAATACAAGTGGAAAACTGGACTCTAGCCTACACGACAAAATCGTGTATAATCTACGAGCAGCATACTAGATCTAATGTAGTATGATGTCATGGAAGGAATTAAACATGCAGGATATGATGCAAAAAACATGAGCTATAACGTAATATACATAGTATAACACTGCAACAGAATATCATATGTGAGCGTGTTATGATATAGTATGATCTGATGTAATAAGATATGGCTTTGTACCATATAGCGTAGAAATATCTGATCATTAGAATAGAGTAGAACAGAACAGAATAGAATAGCATAGAATCGAATAGAATAAAACAGGTACAACGCAATGTAATGTAATGTAATGCAATGTAATGTAATGCAATGCTATGTAATGCAATGCAATATAATATACAGTGAAACACAATACAATTATATTCTGATATACTATAACACCTTACCAGCGCAACCAACAGTAGGGGAGGGAAAGAAACGGGACGAACAAGGGATGCAAGAGAATCACGGAGAAGGTTAGGCGGCTAGGTTAGATTAGGTGTGGGTTGGTCTGCCCCCGGAGCACGGGAAACTGCTTGCGGCCAACTCAAGCAGTGGCACCCTAAGCCTACTGCACAACAGCACTTGGCAGTTCAAAACGGGGCCGCATCACCCTAGACCCAAAACCCTAGATCCTAAACCCGAGACCCTAGCACAAGTGGCACAAGTGGCTCTCAACCCCGAAGTGGCACAGGTGGCGCCCAGCCCTGAACAGTCGTGCGCGCTTGAACAGACTTAGTGTTATGTAGAATTCAATTCGGCAAGTGGCTCGTTTGAACTCGCGGTTCTCGATTGCCAGCTACAGTATATTGTAGAATAGAATAGAGTTTTATCCAGTATGATGCAACACACTACAATATCATGTAAGATAAATATGCTGATGCACGCGCTAGAGTTAGGTTTTCCACCTGAGCTGTATATTGCTTCGAAGCGCAAAGGTTGTGACACTTGTTTGGTGGACGTACCAGTGTAAGGCTAGAACGAACCCGAAGCAAAGCACTCATGACTTAACCCCATGTAATGAGCCCCCTGAGACGTAAGGGGGTGTAGAGGAGTTGAGAGCCTTTAGGGTAGGTTCCGAGAGCTGTCTTGTCAAGAGACGTGCATGAACTGACTGAAGTAAAATGTATACTCCAATTGCCTACGCGCCCCACTCCCCCCAGCACTCAGGGTCTCCAACCCCCACCCAAGACCAAAAAGAAGGCCAAAATCAAATACCACTCCGTTCCTGACACTCGCCGCATCGCTCAGTGCTGCACTGCGTCTGCTGCGCGCCGGGCGGATCAAGCTTTGAAATCACTGCCGTGACAATGCCATCATGTGGACATCATGTCGACATCAGCTCCAAGAAACTCCAAGAAGTCTCACTCGTATTCCAGCGTACTTGTCGCACTTTGGCCACCCAGGGTATTCCGGGGCCTCTGCGAGGGGGTCTCGAAGGAAGCTGAAGTCAATTCTTCGTTGACCTGGGCCACCGCTTTCAATTCTTCCAAGACTGCCCTGGCCCTAACATCCGGACATAAGTGACATAAGTGCGGCACCACAATCCAGGGATCGTCATCCTGACAGAGCTTCGCAAGTGCCTTCGCCCTCTGTTGTGACCAGTGCGAGGGACAAACGGTATCGCGTGGTTGAAATCCCCTGGAGACTGTACATGCATGATCATGCATGATGCTGGTTAGTTTATAGACTGGAGCTTCAGGTCGTGTAACTGAGTGCACTAGTCCGTCCGACGAACGGAGTCAATGTCTAGTGACTCCAGTGTGATGGATCCAATCATGGCGATGCGGGCAAGAGGAACATGGCTTTGAACATAATTGAACACTGTCACGGTCAGGCAGAGGTTCGGCAAGGACGGAAGCTCTGGGAATAGGTGCGCTTTAGTTCGGATTCCTGCCCTGTGTCGATTCCAGAGGCATTTCAGTTAAGGCCAGCCACATGATTCCTGCTCCTAGGCCGCCTGTACGCTTCTTCGTCAATCACGAATAAGGGAACTGCTGATCCGTTCAAGACATGTTCAAGGTACTCCTGCATGTTTGAATTCATGCCGGACGATGTTCGTAGGGATCTTGGCCTCGAGAACAGCCGCTGTTGCGGCCGCAGCAGCGGCGGCCGCCTGACCGCAGTCGTCGCCTGCGACGGCAAGTCCCGCTTCCGCAAGCCAGGGGTCAACGGGAACGGCCTTCGTCGCGGGCGTCTTTCACCTGGCGTGCAGCATGCTGCCAGTGCTTCTGCGAGGATTCACAGCGAGTTGGACATTCTCAAAACATGACGGGGCGTCGACAACGAATGGCAAATTCGGTAGCATCGCCGAGGAGTCACCAGCCCATGTTCAATATGACCAAAAAGCTGCCCACACCAGGCACAGCATTTCTCTCACAAGCTACCAACATCAGGCACTGCAAGAACGAAGTGAAGTGCTGCTTTCTCGCCAGGAGGACGTTGCCTCACGCCTACTTCCAGTAATCAGTTCTTGGGCAGAGGATCTTCAGCTACGCAAATCGAACTGCAGCAGGCTTTTTTCCTTGCAGAAGCAAGCGGGCAGCAACCTGAAACTGGCTAGCTCGTCACTAACATACAGTGAAACTTGGCCTACAGCCACGAGGAACTCCATGGCACCGGACTTCGAAATCGTCTAAATACAGACGAGTAAACAGAGTAGCGGGAGTATGGGAGCCGGGAAATGCTGATTGTGGAGCACGTTTGAGTGAGCGCATTCTTGCCCGAACGGGCGCTGGAAAACCGACACTGCACCTTCGGGCGAGTCTCCCAGCTGGGCAGCACCACACTGCATTGTGACGAGACTTGGCCCAAGAGCTCAGCGGAGAGCTTCCATGCCGATCGGTCATCTTGCACGGTTGTTGCCTTCCTTTTGCCCACCTGTGCCTGGTAACTTCGATGCTTGGGCTTGGACTCTTTGGGAGCTGCTTGGATTCGAAAGCACGTGTATAGCGTGAAGCGCCGATGCTGGCATCACCCTGGAAAATCGAGGTCCAAAGAGTCTTTGACGACTTCAGGTTCCACCATATGTTAACTGCCTTGGTAGACGCGACGGGCAACAACAGAATCCGATCGCATGGGCAACCTCACATCACTGGACAAGCCGCTGAAAAACGAGCTGGTCCACGTCGAAGCAGTAGTCCCTGGTCGGGCGAAGGCGCTCTTCGAAACGCAGAGAGAGGGGAAGGTTCTCTCTGGAGCTCCCCGGCTTGTAGACCTGTCGACCGACCAGTGCTTCGAGGTCCCGCTTCACGCTGCCTCAGAGCCTACTTCCTTCAGAGGTTCAGAATGCAGCCACAACTTCGCGGTTAAACTCATGGTTGCTGACGGTCATCCAGCCAAGATGCGCTGATCAGCGTTCTTCATGCGGGCATTGTATAGAAAGTTGAAGGCCTGCACGGCAGGAGCGTGCTGAGCTCACCTTACGAAGGAGACTTGCAGATGATGCAGTGCCTTCTCGAAAGTCTCCTGACCCATCTTGCAGATCAGCCTTGAACTTTCAGGCAGATGCAGTGTGTGAGGAGGCCTACAGAGGCTGTACACTTCTGATGCATTTTGCCTGAGTTTGGTCACGGAGACGGTTGCCACCGGTCAGTCCACGTGTCCGACAAAGGCTGAGTACGAGCAAAAGACAAGCGTGAGTCTGAAAAACCAACTGGATGTGCTCGGACTGTCACCGTTGGACTTCCGTCGCCCGGAATATTTGAGCCAGGCATTCAACATGATCCAAGGGTTCAGGTTGTATACTAGCTCAGGATTTTAGGGTCCCACTCTCTCCATTGCTTCTGTGACATCGGCTGATGGGAAGACTGAACAGATAGCTGTGGGAGAAAAATGGTTTGCGAGAGAGCTTGTTTCGGCACAGAGGGCACGTTTTGAAGCTGGACTTCCGTCTGCACTGCTGCGGTAGAACACGCTCAACAAAGGAGACTGTCTCACAATTACACGGCATCATCTTCATGCGACAAGATCACGGACTGACTTCTTCTCTTACGCATTTGCCTCTGGCCTATGACCCTTTTCCCGGCTCATGCTGAAGCTCTGCCTCACGGCCTCCACTCCTGACATGATTCGTACACGGTACACAGCATGTGTGTCGAGGCAGGTTCTAAGCAGTCTACTGCTGCACGTGGCATAGTCGGCATATCATCGTAGTAGGATATGCCAAGCAACCAAGCAGACTTGTGTGATCCATCGTTCCAAAGGTCAACCGTGCCGCTGTCGAAAGCATGCAGGCGACCGACGACGTTGTTGCATGTTACTCTGGCTTATGCTTTTGCTCCACAGCAAAAAACCAACATCACATCCCGCACTGTGTGCGAAAACACAGTCATCTGCGGCGGTCTGCCATAAGATCGCATGCGCCAACTCCATCCCAAATGAGCGGGGCAGATATGCTTGGAGTTCCCAGTAAACATAGTAAACCTGGCAGCTTGCCTGCGCACTCTTTGACATCAGTGTGCACTTGCCAACATTGGAGTACCGCTTTTCTCGTGGCTCGGTTCTGAGAGTGTATTTAGCAACACCCTGGCTCACTCTTGTCTTCTAGGCTGCCGGCTCTTCTTTCAAGCGTGAGGCACGAGAGCCTCGAGGCAACAGAGAGGTAGCGGTCAAGTCACCAGCAATAGGATCCCTTCCTGGCAATGTTGAGGTTCACGCGCATGTCCATGATGGCGGAGCCAGGAACTGGCGGAGGAGGTACCTGGATTCCAAGCTGTCCTAACACTGAGAATCCTTCAACGGCCTGTCTCGGCGCACCGGGCTCCGATCCAGGCTTCCCGTCCTCCGCCTCTGCATGTTCAGCAGGAGCGTCAAAATCCGTCAAAGCACTTCAAGGCCGAGCTGCGGCTGAAGGGTTGGTGAAGGAGCAGGGGAGGCCGAGCCAGAGTTTCTGGCCAGGTCCTAACACTGAGGGCGCTATCTTGCAAGGCATCAAGAACTTGCAGAGCAGTCTCCTGCTCGTAGTTGTTCATCACTCTTGAGAGATCCTCCTCTTCACGGACGATGGACAGAGCACCTGACAGCGTGAGTAGACATCGCGGCTGTGCACTTGGCTAGCAGTCCGACCTGCACCGGGGCCCATGTAGACCTTCAAGTGCGGGCTGTGGCGTTTTGAAAGGGTCGCCCTGCATCCCGCCTCCTCGATATCAGACATAACAGCTTCATCCTCGTCCTCGGAATACGGTGCATCCTCAAAGTCATCCTGTGCGGGATCACCAGGACAACAAGACCGACAGCACCCAAGAGCTGTGAACGCCGTTCAGCGCCTCATACTCTTCGGAGTAGTCACTTTCGTCGATTTCTTCGAGAGGCTCATCCTGGAGTGCCAGGCAAAGCTGCTGATTTTTCTGTGTGCTCCTGATTGAGGAAGCCGCCTCCCCACTTTGTATCCAGCAACGCTACTAAGGCGACTGTGCAGTCTGGGATAGTCGGAGTATTGCCAGACACAGATGAATCAGGGCGCCTCATCGATTTCATCGTCGAAGTGCATCTTAATAGGAATCAGTAGTCTCAAGTCACATTGAAAGCACCTACTCCACGGCTGAGGCCGCGTTGGCTGCATGTCCCAAGCCCCGCGCCGGGCTAGCTGTGGGGCTGGGACTGGCACTCACCCCGCCTTAGGTGGCCGTGGCAATATGTGGCACATACACGTCTAGCTGAGGAGCCCTTCTCTGCTCCAAGGCACTGGTCGCCGCGGGTCCTCCGGCTCCAAAGCCCCCGGGTGGAGGGGACGGCGGGCTCGGGCTCGTCGCAGCCTGGGAAAGACCCGAAGGAATTTCCGAAAGACGGCCAAGAGCCACCAAGCCGAAGCACAGCACCGAGACCACTGGCCAGGGTAGTCCTTGGAGAGCGGCACATCGACGCAGACGCAGATTACGTCCGCAGTGGAAGGAGGGCTCAATTGCGGCTGACGAGGCCCGAACTGAAACTCTGCTTCCCTCATCTGCCTCGCAACCTCCGATTGCTCTGACATGCTGAGGCTCATGGCATCAGAGCTAAGTCCGAAACAGTCTTGTTGTGCATCGACTGCTTCGCAGCCATTTTCATCTGCTCTGCCTTGTCTGGCGCAGAAAAATCCGGAGATTGGCGAAGGTTCTGATTCAGATCCAGGCCTTGCGGTCTGCCGCCTCGCGTTTGCGTCGGGCAGCCGCCTCTTTGGGCGTCTCTGAAGCCCGCGCAGCCGCACCTAGGTTTCACGACTAACTACTGCACAACTTCGGACCACTCAACCCTGCCAACACAAGACTGGGGGTGCTAACAAGCTGGTCAATCAGGAGTCTACAGTACATCCCGAATGCAGTCAAGTCTTCAGAGACAGGCATTTCGGAACGCCATGCTCAGGCAGTTACGTGATGCAGCAGTTCTACCTCGGCTGTGAAGTGCTGCTTGCGAGACTTGAGGAAGCAGCGTGTCTCTCATGGCAGCACTTGACAATCTTGAAGACAAAAGTTGCCCTCCAGCTCTGAGGCAGTGTCCAGTCTGTCGCACTGGCTTCTGTCCTCAGCAAAGAGGACAACGAGAGAAAAGAAAGAAAAAACAAAATACTTTCGGGGAAAGTTTTGGGGCCCAAGGCCGGGCCCAAGGCCAGGCCGGATCCCACGTTGCACCTCCGCCGGTGCAAAGGGCGGTCGCTCCGGCGGCCCCTGAGAAGCGCCTCAGCTGAGCTCCAACAACGGTGAAGATCGAAGTTGAATCACCGCTACAGTATCGTGAAGCTCGCCAGCTGAACCCTTGTGGGGACTGACGGCACACTGACATGCAAAACTGCAAACGCCATGACCTCGGATTTGAACTGGGCCTAGCGCCTGACCGTACGCTACCGGAGCTCCGCGGCAATGTGACACCGCCTGGCATTCTTCTGAATTCACCGAGACGAGAGAAGCTTAAGGTGGGTATGCGCCCGCCTGGAGGAGCAGGGCTCGGCCCTTCGGCTGTGCTTTGACCTCGAAGCGACCACGTGGCGAGACTTAAGACTGCGGCTCGAGCAAGCTTGAGAACATCCGCGTGGAATTCAAGACATGAGGCAACGTGGGGGTGGGTGTGGCTGTGGCTGTGGTTGTGGCTGTGGCATGCTGTGGCTGTGGGTGTGGCTGTGGGTGTGGGGGTGGGGGTGGAGGGTGGGGGTGGGTGGGGGTGGGTGGCGGTGGGTGGGTGGGTGTGGATAGGGTTGGGGGGTTGGTTCCGTTTATCCCATCTTATCCCAGTCCTACATCTATGTCTGGAATGGATAAATCTGACTGACGGTTTCGGGATAAGTCTGGAAGGTTCCGGGATAAGTCGGTACCCGTCCTACAGGTAGGCGTTTTCTCAGGTGGGGATAAGTCTGGACGGGTTGGGGACGGGACAAATCTGGACCGCTTCGGGAAAAGGACGGATAGAGTTGGAAAGATCTGATCTGCAAAGCTCCTGGATAAGTCTGTAAAGGCTGGCTGGTTTTTCAACCACCCCTGACCCATTGACGCCAAAAAACGGCTTTCAACGGCTTCACGGTGTTCCCATGCTTGAGAAACCGAAGAGTGTGCCGCCTGGCCTGTCTTTGAGGCACCGAACAAGTCGTAGGCTCACAAGACTCACAAGTCCAAATTCCCGCTCTGGGCTGGCCACTGGTATGGCGATTCTGCACGGCCGCGTTCATGAAAGACTGCGCTGGGAGGCAGGACAATTCCAGTATACAGATGTTGTTGTGGAAGAACACAGCATGTTGCCATATTGAAAACGTGCCTGCACATAAGAGTCGGCAAGAAGGTCCCGTACACTCGGTCGCTGCTCTGCGTTCTTCTCCAGCATTCGCCTTGGCAGGTGCAAGGCTTTCGTAGACGATCTGCCCTAAGTTTCCCGTAGTTAAGCTGGCAGCTGAATAAGCGTGTTCAGCTGCGGCGTGTAGCGCTCTGGGATGGGCCTCGCAAAGACTCGCACAGCAAATCTTAACAATACAAGACAAGAAGGCCGCAGACTCATACTTGTCGCTGACGATCTTGTACACAAGCCTCAGTGTCTACTGCAATCTTGGGCACAACTTACCCCATGTCGTTGAGGCTTCAGCCCTAGCAGGTTGTCGGCAGAAAAGGCATGCTTCAGCATGCAAAGTTCGTAGAGGCAGCATCCCAGAGACCAGACCTGGACACGCGTCCGAGGTTTCAGGCACCCGCTGCGGTGCGGGAAACGGCGTGCAATCAGAGTCTGTGCGCCAGGCATCACTCTTGAATGTGTATGGTTTGTTTTCGCACACCTCCGGAGACATGTAGTACCTCCAAAAAAAGCCGCGCATGTCAGCTTGTCGACTGACATATTCTTGTAATGCAGCAGCTGGTCACGGAGTTCCAACCACAGTGATTGCAGCCTCTGCACGGCACTGGCCCGTAGCTCAGGCACACCAAAAGGACCAACAAAAACGCCCCCAACCGGCACACTTGAGACGCTTGCCTCGATGGAGCCTTCTAGGACCCTTGAAATGCCAAAGTCTCCCAGCTTCACGACCTTCGCTCACACAGATCGTGGAGCGGTGGGTAGCGGCGTGGACAAGCGCAGAACCGAACACTTGGATGAGGCTGCTCCAGAAACGACACGCATGCTAGATGTCAAGCCTGAATGTCCTTGGACCCCAACAGACTTGCTCTTCATGAGGAAGAGGTTTGACGTTTTTAGGTCTCTGTGCAGGATCCGCTCGCCGTGAATGTACTGCAATGCCTGCGCACGAAGAAGACTCCAAGACCGCCGAGCTCCGGGGAAGCTGAGGGCCTGCAGAATCTGCACGAAGTAATGCATGATCTGATACTCATCGATTCGTGTCTTCTTTTTCAACATGTCCTGGGAACCGGGTGAACAAGCAGCATGATCCTCGACAGCACAGAAGGCGTAACAGAGGAAGAGTTGCCTGGCACTGTCTGGAATCTAATGCCCGAGAGACCAGGGATGTCCGTGACAGCATTCTTTCGTTCTAGCATCGCGGTGCTGGCACCTTCCCGCCCCCGTTCCTCTCAAAGCATCTCAGAATCTCCAAGAGAAAACAGACGGCCTCTGGACGAGTCTGGACCAAATTGCCATCTTTGTCCCGAAATCCCGTGATGCCGAATTTAGCTTCTAGCCTCCTCTCGGACGATGTAGACTTCAACAAACTAGAATCTTGAACGCTGTCTCGTCTTAAGCACGCTTTGTGCTTCCTGCCCGCCAACGACGATAAACGCCAGCGCAGGCACGATTCTGACAAATCACGTCTTCGGAGTGTAACATTGCTGTCTGCGGTCCTTGATGTAAGTAGCCAGATCGCCTCCTTCACAGTACTGCATGATGATGACAAGAGTATCCTGTCGAGCAGCGATGTTTTACGAGAAGGGAATACAATTCACACGGCATGCCGTGCCACGAAGTGCAACGCCTGATTGGCACCCATGAAGAAGTTATCTTTGTAGGAGACAATGTTCGGGTGATTCAGCCCTTGGGCCCCCGGAATGGTCATACCACGCAGAGCAGGAGCTTGCCGTCCCTGCCGAGAACGGACCCAAACTGGCGAATCTTGGCCCCCAGCGGCTTAGAAGAGCCACCTCTTGCTTTGCAGTCTCTCGCTCCTGTTCAATGGACTCACAACCTTGAAGCATGATGTGCCAGTAGAGCCCAGTGTCGCCGCTGATCTCCCGCCTTGCTTGAAAGACACGTGAGATCAATTGTCTTGGCCTCGGCTCGCCAAGTCCACCTACTGCACTTCCTTGAGGCTCGAACAATCCAAGCGCAGGGCGATGTAATACTGCTCATCACCCTCACTGCGAACCAGATGCGCCTTCAACATCTTCACCAAAGCCGCTAGATCAGAAGGTTCTTATTGTTAATGCAGAATTGCATTGTACGCCGGAGCAAATTTTTTGTCCTAGCACCAGGCGATGGGCCGAGAGGGTATTTCGCGTGCTCAAGTCTCTAACATACCGGCTCTGTCACA